ATGTCTGTAATATTATAAGACTGTGATAGTCCTCGCCTATCAAAATCTCCGTAGGCCAAAGTACTGTTGGAATACTAATTTGTGACCTTACTGATTTAAAAGGTTGCCACATTCCATGCAGAATTGGTATTTTGTTACTGCGGTAGCTGGAAATAAAATTTGAAAATTACCAAAAACATGAATGGTTTTTCTGGTTCTAAATTTAGGATATAATTTCTACAATATACTCAAAGCAGTTTCTTCATTGGAATTTCCATCACCTGTTTTTTTGTTAGTTTGTTTCAGAGGTGTTAGTGAGACCCTTCCTTGGCAGTCAGTAGCCCCCCTGAGGATTTGTTTCATTTTACAAGTAGAAGGTGGGTTCAATTTTTGAGTCAGGTTTTTCTGGGAAGTTCCAGTGTCAGGTGAGACAGCAGCTGGTCACCTAAGTGCGATAGACAGGAGTGAGGCCAGCCGGTAGCAACAAGCAAAAGGGGGTTTGAGGAAACGTGTGACCAAACCAAACTGTGTAATGTGCACATCTCCTGGTTTTCTTGAAGGATAATATTCAAGAAAAGTATTTCTATTCTAGTGGCTATTTTGTCTGAGGTTTTATTCTTTCAAACAACTGGCTTTCTGTGTTTGAGACTCTAGAGAGGGTAATTTCACAACCCAGTAACTCACCACAGTGCTTAAAAAAAACAGGATCACCTTGACCTTAGAAAATCCCACCAGGCTGTTTTCCTTTGCCCTTTGTGTGATACATACATACTTCCCAACCACGCAAGTACATTACCCTCTAATTAGTACTTTAGGTAAAAAAAAAACCTTCCATATTGCAATAGTCAAAGAACTGAGCCTTCAGTTTATAGTTCCTGTCTCTCCAGCCAATCTCAGAACTCCATATCCCTTCTTCTCTTGATCAAGATTTGATAACAAACCCTGGTTTGCATTTAATCTAATGGAAACTCTTAATGTAGTTTCAGTTTTGTTTTCCTGAAGAAACTGACATTTTATCAACAGAATAAATGAACATACAGATGAAAACATTCAGGGTGTGTACACAAAGTGAAACTGGTTATTTATGAAATTAAGTTACTTAAATTGTGTAATATTTTAATCTCTTTAAATTGGTGAAGTACCTATTAAAAGGTAACTCTTCCATGAGGAAACCACAATTGAAAGTCTAGCAGTTGTTTGTCATGTGTGTATCTCAGTCTCAAAAGTCAGATGTTTGTGTCCTTTCTAAAAATTTTTAAGTTTTCATGAATATTTTTTAAAACTAAGCACTTTGAACAAGGTTCTCTGTAGAGAACAATACTCTTCTAGTTCTCCCAGCTTGTACTGAGGGGTGGAGAAGGACGAGACTGTCCACTGTACTCCACTGCATGGCGGGAAGCTCAGACCTCGGGCGCAAGCAATAGGAGTAGGAGGATGCCAAAGGACTGATGGGGAAGAGGGTGGGGGAGGACGTTGAGGAATGTAATGAAGCTCTCTTGAGTGCATCATTGATCATGACGTTTATCTAGTTATTTGCTTCAACAAATCAAAACCAGATGCAGGAGTGTTCTTTAGCAACAATTACTTCAAATGTGATTCAGCACTCTACATATTTTTTGAGTGGTTGCTCATCATTCATCATATATTCACTGAGTTGCTATGATTGGATCCTGGAGTTATAGAAATAAAATAATTCATGTTCTTAAGGACTCACTGGTATTACGACAGGAAGATGTGTGGCAATCCATTCTAATCCATTTGCATTAGCTAATGGCCATTGTTTGGAATGCTTTTTTTTTTTAAGTCTTTTCCACTGTAGGCAGAGGAATTTTTTTTTTTAGATGCTAGGTATTGGCTCTTTATTTTTTTTAATAAGCGAATCCTCATCCTTTATTTTGAAGTATTTCTTTAAAGCACTTTTCTCCCCAAATATTCTTACTCAACTCCATGAAATCCCCTATTTAGTTTGCCTTAAAATGAAACAGCCATCAGTGAACCATGAAGTAACATATCACTAGCTGTGTTGTGATTAGTCCAAATATGTCTTAAGTTAGCATCAAACATCTTCACACATTTAAACTAGATACTAGGGCTATTTTGCAAAACTTTGAAAAGCTGTGATCTTGTACATTTTTCTGTAACCTGAGCTAAAAATCCAAATATAGCGATCATTGGCATGCTTTAGGACTGTGGTTTCAGCTGGGGGTGTGTTACATCCCTGGGGTATGCAGATAAATCAGTCTGTTGGGAAAATGTTAAAATGGTTATTTGTATTTACTCTCATCCTTTTAAATTTCTATTTTTGTGTGTTTTATAATGTACATAATATATTGTACAATTGTACACTTCTATAATTCGTAAATAAATACATTTATTGGTTCATTATTTTTTTCTGATTTCAGTGCATGATCGAAACATTTGGATACGTTGCTTTTACGTATAGATAGGGTGGCATTTAAACTGAAATGATTTGGACCTTTGGCACTCAATATTTGAATTCACAGTGTGATGTTACTCTGCTGGGAGTTGGCATTCACTCTGTCTAGCCGTACTGTAGTCCCCAGGAGCAAAGTGACACTTTCTAAGATGAGAACTGAGTAGGTTTCGTGATGGGGTTAATAGATGAGGGTAGAGTTCTAAGCAGATGTCATCCGTGGAGTGGAAGTGGGGCAGGTAGAGGCCAAAGAGCTAGGGGCTAACTGCTGGGATGTCCAGCAAAGGCTACAGCTGTTAGAGTTCCCTGTAATCTGGCTGCTACAAATCAAAGGTGAGTATGGGAAGGATTGTCCACTCTCTTTTCAGCACTAGGTGGTTCAGCATTAACCTGTCAGGCTGCATATGCAAAGGGAGCTGTGTTCCTTTATCTTTCTGAACACCTGAGGTTTACCCTTTAAAATCTGGAAAATGATAGCAATAGATAAAAGAGATGGGAGCAGTTTCCATAAAGAGCAACTTCAAACTATTTCCCTGTAGTTTCCAGCCTGGTTCCGGTAGAGGGCGATAGGGCTATAATTTTTATTAGCAAAGAATGGTTGAGCTTGTGGGACTAAACCAAAACTAAAGACATGCTTTGTAATTTATTTCTGTTTCCACCTTCTAGGATTACCTTCTTCCCCTTTACTCTTTTTTTAGCCCTATCTAACCTTTGTCTTTCTTAACACGTATCCTTTAATACATTATATTTACTTCTTGGTTTTCTAGCTGGAAATACTAGGTCCCTTTGCAACAAATTCCAGAAGACAATCCATATTTATTCATTGTGCTGGAATTGTATTAGATCGTTTGCGTGAGAGAGGTGGGAAATTAGGTAGGACTAAAAGATCCTTTTATTCTATAAAATTTAAATTTTGGGGTTGGTTGGTATCAAGAACTATGTATGAAGGGTCTGAGACACTGCAGGCTAACAAGTTAACCCGCGACGGTGTCATGGATGTTAGCAAAAGACAGGAGAGTCCTGGGTCAGAAGCACTGCAGGCTGTGTGAGCTTCATGTTCCCCATCTGCTCCTCTGGTCCCCCAAGTTCCATGGGGGCTCCGCAGAGCAGATGTTGCACAAGGAAAATACTTGAGTCACAGCTGATGAATTTCTAGCTCAGGAAGCCTAGTCTTTTAAAGGGTAAACAAGCAAAGCTGTCCAAGAGGGAGATATTCTCACTTCCAAGCTAGTTTCCTACATAAACATCAAAAGTCTGGAACAAAAGCTCTGTGCCTCTGCTCACAAGGTGTACAGAAACATGAGATCCCCATGGAAAATTGTCTCTCAAAAGTTGGAATTCAAAATACATAGTACCTCTACTTACAGGGAGTCTTTGGACCTTTGGTTAAAACCGAGGAACCTCTGAAATATTCTCAACAGTCGTGCTGGCACCTATGATCATCCTTTGAGGGAAGATTTATTTTTGGTTTTGACTGTGAAAAGTTGCCCAGAGATTATGCAGACGAATGGGGAGGGTAATCAAATTTGCTGATAGACATTTTGATCAAGAATTAGGCATGTGACTAAAATTCAATGAGAGACTTTAAAAATCTTGATCATTAAACTGCATTTGAGACATCCAATAATATTAACAGGATAACTATAGCCTTCCTCATCATGTATATGCATTAGTCTGCATCTATAGCTTTGTAAAATTAGTCTACTTACTTTATAATCACATCCAAAGTTTCTCCAGCTTTTTCAAAAAATTCCAGTGTAATTAACATACAGTGTTAGGTTAGTTTCTCTCCAGCTTTTTAATTTCTTGATTCTCTGCCACATTCTTAGGATGTCAGTCACTGGCTGTGCCACATGTCAATTTCCAAGTTTCTCCAAAAGCCTACAGTTCCTCTTCTTGATGTGACAACATACACAGAGAGAAGGGGGAGCACCAGGAGGGGCGCCCCAGCTGAATGGAGGCAAAGCACCCCTTCCAAGTGTCTTGGACTTGCAGCTCGCTCCACAAGCCACTCCTGGTTCAGAACTCTGCAGTTACTCTTTTTCCCACCATCCCAAGGGGCTCTTGCCCCCCTACCCACCCCTTACTCACGGAACACTGATGGGGGCCTATTATCATGGAAATCATAAGGATTAATGTGATTTTCAGCAAAGTGCTTTTGAGAATTGGAGATGAAGCTATAGTGTTGTGATTCTCGGCATTATTTCTTTATACACTGAAAGCCCCCACATCTTTCAAGTCTGCTGACTTAATGACAGGGTATCTCAGTAAATGTCAGGAGTGACACGTCAGGAGCAGCACGTTTCAGACGGGAGTTCGGGTTCGGTAATACTAAGACGGAGTTTTGAGTAGAATTTTGAATGTGTGTTGAAAAATCTTTAGAGCTAGGGAAAAAAGTCTTTAAAAAGCCTTCCTCCATCTCGCTCAGTCTGATTTGTCAGGTTTGCTTTGCATTTGGTACGAGGGTGCTTAGAATCTGATCGAACCGAGGGCCTGCCTCCCCAGCCCTCCACGGAAGCGGGCGGGAACGCAGGGCTGGACGCGACGTCCCTGGGCGCTGGCGTTGGAGCTCCGTCCGCCCGCGGGGCCCTCCGGCCTGGGAAGTTAGGGACGGCGCGCGCGGAGGGGCTGGGAAGCGGTGCGATGCCCTCTGCAGCCGGCGGAAAGGGCACTGCCAGCCTGACGACGCACAGCGGGCCGGGCGTGGATGGGGGGAGAGACGGAGAAGAGAAGTGACCTGTCACGGCGGGGACAGAACCGGAGCGGGGACGCAGGCACGCTTCCGGACAGGGTGCTGCGCACGGGGCGTCTCCCGGCGCCACGCTGCTTCCTAGGGCAGAGCTAGCCCCGGAGCCCCATCGCCGAGCTCCTGGCCCGCGCCGGCCCCGGGCCTGGGGCTGCGGGGAGGGGCTGTTGCTTCCTGGCCCAGGTGCTCAGAACACAGAACGAGGAAGAGCGGGCAAAGATCCCTGCCGTACACTCTGCAAGGGGGAGAAGAATGAACAATAACTGTAATCGACAAGCGGTGTAAACAGTACATTTGAGCGTGGTAAGTGTAGTGGAAAAAAGGAGTAGAGAAAGGTGAAGAAGGTAGGGGGAGGGCAGTTTCAGCTTTCGGGGTCAGAGGGAGTCTCCTCTCAAAGCCGGCATCTGGGCCAAGGCTTGAAGGGGTGAAGAAGTTAGAGGTGCAGGTGCTTGGGGGCCGGGTGTTCCGGACCCGGGCTGTCAGACAGGAGCGGCCTGGCCTGTGGGCAGAGCGCGGGAGAGGCCAGGGGCCACATCAGAGTGAATCAGGGGAGAGAGAATGAAGTCGCGGCAGGCTGGGCCTTGTAGGTCCTTGTAAGGACACTGGCTTCAACTCTGAGTAAGTGGGAGCCATTGCAGGTTTTTGAGCAGGGGAGTGATGGGATCTGCTCATGTCTTTTTGTTTTGTTTTGTTTTTTTAAAGATTTTATTTTTATGTATTCATTTGAGAGAGAATGAGATAGAGAGAGCATGAGAGGGGGGAGGGTCAGAGGGAGAAGCAAACTCCCTGCCGAGCAGGGAGCCCGATGCGGGACTCGATCCTGGGACTCCAGGATCATGACCTGAGCCGAAGGCAGTCGCTTAACCAACTGAGCTACCCAGGCGCCCGGGATCTGCTCATGTCTTAAAAGGATCCCTCGGCCTGTTGTATTTAAAACAGACAAAGGGGCACCTGGGTGGCTCAGTCGTTAAACGTCTGCCTTTGACTCAGGTCATGGTCCCAGGGTCCTGGGATCGAGCCCCGCATCGAAGAGCCTGCTTCTCCCTCTCCCACTCCCCCTGCTTGTGTTCCCTCTCTCGCTGTGTCTCTCTCTGTCAAATAAATAAATAAAATCTTAAAAAAAAACAAACAAAACAAAGACAAAAACAAAAACAAAAACCAGACTAAGGAGAGAGGGGCCGAAGCAGCAAGACCCAGTGAGAAGGTTATGGCAGAAATCTCCCGGGAATTTTGACCCACTTACAAGGCAACAGGTGCTGTGCGTTTGTCCACACAGAGGCTCTGAGAGGGCGGCAGCTGTGGAGGTGGGGGGCAGAGCTTGGATTTGGGCTGTGCAGATTTGAAGATAAAGCTGGCAGAATTTTCTAGTGAATTGGATGTTCTGTTAAGAGAGAAAGAGAGGAGTAAGGATGCTGCTAAGAATGTTCCTGAGCAAGTGGAAGGATGGAGTTGCCATCAGCTGAGAAGGTAAAGGTGAGATGTGGAACAGATCTGGGGGGAAAGACTACAAGTTCGTTTGAGATTCTTCAAATGGAAAAGTTAGGGATGCAGCTGGATGTATGAGTCTGGAGTTTGCCAACAAAATCTAGTTAGTAATATAAAATTGGGGCTAAATGGCATTAACATGCTGAATGAGATCCCCAAAGAAACAAGGGCAAAGGTCTGAGCCCCAAGGGGGATTGACATTACCAGACTGGGGGGTGAGGGAGGCAGAGAAGGAGTCGCAGGAAAACCAGGAGTGTGGTGACCTGGAAGACACTGTGTCAGAAGGGGTACCTCTGGTGTCACCTGCTGCTGAGAAGGCAAGTGAGATGAACATGGATGTTAGCCGGGAAGAGGTGTTGCTGATCTCCCTAAGAGCACTTGCAGGGGAGCAGTTGGAGACAAAACCCCGTTCCAAGTGGGCTTGAAAGAGAATGGGAATTAGGGCAGTGTGGTATTGGGACAAAAGCAAAGAGGTCAGTGATACAGAATGGAAATCCAGAAACAGACCGGCATGGGTGGACAGACTCACACAGCTGGTGTCTGTGACAGGTTTTGCAGTACAGTGAAGGAAAGGAAGGCATTTTCAAAATATGGTGCTGGAACAATGGGATACCCCATTCAGGGGTGGGGGGAAACGATGCATGGTCCCCTTCTCATTCCTTATGCAACAATTAATTCCAGGTGGCTTGGAAGTCTAAATTTGAGAGGCAAAACAATAAAAGCTTTTAGAATATAGGAGATATTTATGACCTTAGGGTAGGCTACAAAGAGCATGTCTAAAAAGGAAAAAAAAATTGAGAAATTGAATTACATCCAAATGAAGGACTTTTGTTCTTCAAAGACACAATAAAGAAATGAAAAACGGAAGCCCTAGCGTGGGAGAAGTTATTCGTCACACACACAATTTAGAAAGCCCTTGAATCCATACTAAACAAAAGACTCCTACAAATTGGTAAGAAAAAAAAAAAAAAAGACAAATCAATGGGAAAATTGGCAATAGGCTTAAAAAGACACTTTGTGTCACAGATTGGGTCCTTCAGAAGCAGACACTGAGAAGGGGTTTGTGGTGTCAGATATTTATTAAGAACCAAGATGTTTAGGGGGCGCCTGGGTGGCTCAGATAGTTAAGCGTCTGCCTTCGGCTCAGGTCATGATCCCAGGGTCCTGGGATCGAGTCCCGCATCGGGCTCCCTGCTAGGCAGGGAGCCTGCTTCTCCCTCTGCCTCTGCCTCTCTCTCTCTCTGACTCTCATGAATAAATAAATAAAACATTTTAATAAAAGAAAAAGAACCAAGATGTTTATTGTGAACAAAAGAGGGAGGAAGCAGGAAGGGGCAGAGAAAGGAGCTGAACTTTAACGTAGACCTAGCAAAGCCTGGACCAGCCTAGGAGGGTGCTCAGGAATGAATATTGCTCATTAGTATGTCTCGTGCCAAGCTGAAAAGGCTGTCTCTTTATAGTCCTGCCTTGCTCAGTGAGCATGGGCTCCTCAGGAAGAGCATGACCTTGACAAGGTGGTTCTCTGTATCAAGGCCAGCCCTGAAGGAACCGTTGGCTGGAGGCTGTCTGCCGACCACACTCCCTGCCGCTAGGCAACATGACCTTCCTTGAAGGAGGATCTGAGTGCCGTGTCTCCCTGTCTACTCTACTGCACAAAACACTATATCCGAAGGGCAAAACAAATACGTGAAAAGCTGTTCAAGTTCTTTATCCATCAGAGAAATGCAAATTAAAACCACAATGAGATATCACTACCTGTTCACCAGAAGGCAGAAGTTGAAGAATTGGCAATACCAAGCGGTGGACACATAGCACCTTGAAATCTCATCCACTCTGGTAAAAATATAAATTTGTAGATCACTTTGTAAAGCAGTTTACCATTAGTTACTAAAGTTGAAGTTATGCATAGGCATGGACATAGTAATTATACTTTCAGGTATTTACCAACAGAAATGCATGCACATATGTACCAGTAGACATGTATTAAGAATGCTCATAGAAGTAAGTCAGAGAAAGACATGTATCATATGACCTCACTGATATGAGGAATTCTTTTTTTTTTTTTTAAAGATTTTATTTATTTATTTGAGAGAGAGAGAATGAGAGAGAGCACATGAGAGGGGGGAGGGTCAGAGGGAGAAGCAGACTCCCTGCCGAGCCCGATGTGGGACTCGATCCAGGGACTCCAGGATCCTGACCTGAGCCGAAGGCAGTCGCTTAACCAACTGAGCCAGCCAGGCGCCCAATATGAGGAATTCTTAATCTCAGGAAACAAACTCAGGGTTGCTGGAGTGGTGGGGGGTGGGGGGGATGGGTGGCTGGGTGATAGACACTGGGGAGGGTACGTGCTATGGCGAGTGCTGTGAATTGTGTAAGACTGCTGAATCACAGACCTGTACCTCTGAAACAAATAATACATTATAAGTTAAAAAAAAAGAAGAAGAAGATAGCAGGAAGGGAAAAATGAAGGGGGCGAAATCGGAGGGGGATACGAACCATGAAAGACTGGACCCTGAGAAACAAACTGAGGGTTCTAGAGGGGAGGGGGGTGGGGGGATGGGTTAGTCTGGTGATGGGTATTAAAGAGGGCATGTACAGCATGGAGCACTGCGTGTTATACACGAACAATGAATCATGGAACACTACATCAAAAACTAATGATGTAATGTATGGTGATTAACGTAACATAATAAAAAAAAAAGAATGCTCATAGAAGTTCTATTCATAACAGTCCCAAATTAGAAACAACTCAAATGTGGATTGATAATAGAATGGATAAATAAATTTTTCTATGTTTATACCAAGGTTGTGATGGGCAGCCTCCAAGATGGTCCCCAGTGATCCCCTGCCTCCTGGTGTTCACATCCTGGGCTGGTCCCCTCCCACACTGGACCAGCTTGGTCTCTGTGATCTCTGTGATTAATAGCATACAGCAACAGTGATGGTATGTCACTTCTGAGATTCGGGTATAAAAAACACTGCAGCTTCCATTGTGAGAGCTCTCATTCCCATATTTTCTCTTAGACTATTTACTCTGGGGAATCCATGTCATGAGCACGCCTATGGAGAGGCTCACATGGCCGGGACTTAATCTCTTGTCAACAGCCATGTGAGTGAATCTGGAAGTGGATCCTCCAGCCCTAGTTAAGGCTTCAGAGATTATAGCCTCAGGCAACAGCTTGACTGCAATGACTTGAGAGACTATAAGCCAGAACACCCAGCTAAACCAAGAATGATTACTGATTCTCAGAACATAGGTCGTATAGTAAATGTTGGTTTCCAGCTGCTAAGTTGGGGGTAATTTGTTACACAGCAATAGATAACTAATACAATGGGATAATATAAAGTAATGAAAACAAATGAAATGCAGTTACATATGTCAACATGGGTGAATGTTACCAATGCAATATTGAGTGAAAGAAACCAATAACAGAAGACATTTTTAATTATCCCATTATTTAAAGTTCAAGAAACGGGTAAAACTAAAGTATGATATTTAGGGATGCATGCCTAGATGGTAAAACAATCAAGTCAATCAAGGAAGTGGTTTTCCTAAAAGTCAGGATGATGGTTACCTTTGGGGCAGAACGGGGTCAGAAGTGAGAGGGGGCACGAGGAAGGCTTCTGTGCTCTTGCTAATGTGCTGTTTCTTGACCTGGATGGTGATAGCAAGGGTATTTGTTTGGGATAAATCATTAAACTTTATGCCTTTGTTCTTAAACCCCCACTCCACCTTTTTGTCTATGTGTCAATTTCACAATGTAAAGGCAAACAAAGAGGGTGGGATGAGAGAAATTAGGGACAGAGAGCACAGACAACTCTTCAGAGGAATGTTGTTGCAAAGAGGATCAAAGAAATGGAATAGTAGCTAGAAGAGAACTTCTAAGATTTCCAAAACAAGATTTTTCTCTCTTTTTTTTAAAGATTTTATTTTTTTATTTGACGGAGAGAGACACAGCGAGAGAGGGAACACAAGCAGGGAGAGTGGGAGAGGGGGAGTGGGAGAGAGAGAACCCCTATCACACATACCCACAGAGCAGGGAGCCCGATGCAGGGCTCGATCCCAGGACCCTGGGATCATGACCTGAGCCAAAGGCAGACACTTAAAGACTGAGCCACCCAGGTGCCCCTAAAACAAGACTTTTTAAAACATGAAACAACAGTATGTTTTATGCAGAAGGAAATCATCTACTGGAGAGGAAAAACCGGTAAGACAGAAGAGGGGTCTTGCTGGAACCAGGTTGTGAAGTAGGTGAGCGACCAGTGGGGCCTGAGCTAGGGATCCTGCGTTAGAGTTCTCTGGAGATACAACCAAGAGAATGTATCTACATCTATACGCTCTATACAGTAAGCTTGTACTATATCTATTAATAAACCTGTATCTGTATCTGTCTATCTACCTATCTTTAGATTTATTTTAAGGAGTTTATCTATAGTTTATTTTAAGGCTCACATGACTGGCAAGTCCCAAGCCTCCAGGGTGGGCTGGCAGGCTTGGCAAGTGGTATATTTTGAAAAGATGGGATTCCCCTATCACACATACTCAAGGTGATCCAACTGGTGGGGCTGGCAAAGTATTAAGCTACCGAATCCCTGCAGATGAGCCGGGCAAAGAGGTCCTCAGGAGGAATGAGGATCTTCCCTGGGGGACATGCAAATGCGGGCTTAGTTCGGCCAGCAGATGTGGGTGACCAGGTAGGTAGGTGCTTTGGGGGAGTCACAGCTGTTCCCAATCCGTGAAGACACTGAGAGAGGCGCCTTCGGTGGAAATGGTCCCTTTCTTCTTCCCTGCCCCCGGGAGGCACGAGCCCACCGCACCCCCCAGCCCTACCCCCAACTCCCCAGTGCCGGTGCTCAGCGCCCGGGTCTGGACTGTGGCGCGAGCGGGCGTGCCAGCTGCGGCCGCCAGGGGGCGTGAGGCGGCCGAGGAGGGCCGGGCTGGCCGGCAGGGCCGGGAATATCCGGGGCCCCTTTCTGGAGCCGGCGGGCCTCAGCGGGGTGGCTGGAGCTCTCTGCTCCGCCGGGCCCCCTCGGCCGCGGTCCAGCCCCCGCCCCGCCAGGCCCTCCGGAACCCAGGGCAGCCTCGGGCCTCCGCTGGTTCACCGACCACGTCCCCTGTGCCTCTTGCCAGCGCTGAGCTGCTCTCCTCGGACCCCTGGACGCCAAAGGGGTCCCCCCCGCCGCTTGCACGTTTGGCCTCTCAGATGCTAGAGCTGGCGCCAGGCCTCGTGCGGGGCCCTCCCCCTGTCCCCAGGCCACCCTGGAGGAGGGGGACAGCTACCTAGTTCACGCCTCCGAGGTGGCCCAGTGAGCTTTCAGGGCCTCTCGCTAGAGCAGGGGGGATAGAGCTTCCCTCACCTAACGGAACCCCCCTCCTCCTTAGGACCCGCCACACCCCCGGCTGAGCTGCCTCCCACTTGCTGGGCGACCGGGAGCAGGGGGACCAGATGCCCCGCACGCACGAGCAGGACACCCGGGTCCGTTTGAATTTCGGATAAACAGCAGGTTATTATTATTTTTTTAAAGATTTTATTTATTTATTTTGAGACAGAGAGAATGAGAGACAGAGAGCATGAGAGGGAGGAGGGTCAGAGGGAGAAGCAGACTCCCTGCCGAGCAGGGAGCCCGATGCGGGACTCGATCCCGGGACTCCAGGATCATGACCTGAGCCGAAGGCAGTCGCTTAACCAACTGAGCCACCCAGGCGCCCCATAAACAGCAGGTTATTGAGTGTAAGTATGTCCTAGGCAGTATTTGGCACATACGTACATATTTGGGACAAGACTTACCGTATTATCTATCTAGTTAAATCTATCTGTATCTATATAGTTTAAAAAAATCCGACTTCTCTGTTTTGTTTCAGTTAAACACAAGTACACTTTCCCCCCCAAGCCATCAGCTTTCTTAACAGATTTTAGAAAAAGAAGGAATTTATCCTTTTAATCATGGCATTCATTCAGCTAAAGCTGCGGCCCTTTATGTCTGTGGAACCTTTCCTTTCAAGGAGCTTAATGTTTTTATGTTAATTTATTTTTATGGGTGAATCTGTAGTTTGCTTTCTGACTGGAGTCCACGCTGAATAGGAGCTGTTCAGTGGGGCAGATTTTGGAAATCATGATAACTTCTGTACACCACCCTGAACAAGGCCCTGTGGGAGTCTCCTGGGGACCTTACTTCTGGGTGACCATTTCACAGTCTCTGTGTCCATTACATTTATATTTTGGGTCAAGAGACTCTGTCCTGTAAGGGACCAAAGCCCTTACAATATTCCTAATAACACTCCTTGGCCCTTGTGGAGCTCATTTCCTCATTCCACTGTGGAATGCCATCTGAAATCAAACTGGCTCAGATGTAGATATGCTCTCCCTTGGTCCTGACCTGCTTGGTCTGGGGGGACAGGAAGCCAAGAACATCAGTTTCCTGGGACAAAGTACCACAAAACTGGATGGCTTAAGCAACAGACGTGTAGTATCTCACAGTTCTGGAGGCTAGATTTCCAGGATCAAGGTGTCCGCAGGTTATTTCCTTCTGAGTGCTATGAAGGAGATCCAGGATCTTTTCTTGGTTTGTCGATGTGTCTCTTCACATTTTGTTTTCCTCTATGTATGTCTGTCTCTCTGTCCAAATATTTCTTTTTAATAAGGAGACCAGTCATATTGGATTAGAGTCCACCCTAATGACCTAATGACCTCTGTCAAAGACCCTATCTCAAATAAGGTCATGTTCTGAGGTACTGGGGGTTAGGATTTCAACATATCTTTTTTTGGGGAAGGACACAATTCAACCCATACACCAGGAAACTCTGATGAGGGAAGGGGCACTTCATTGGTATCTGAGAGATGACTCTTTGAGGGATCCCATCAACACCTCAATAGACAAGAGTTTGGCTGTCAGGCTGGAGTTTTGGTCAGGAAGCTTCTAGAACCAGGAAGTGGTGACTTCATGGGAGAGCTCGCTGTTCCTGTTGGACACCTAAGCTTGGTCTGAGAGGCCAGCTGAGCTCCCAGTAGCAGAGGTCCTTTCCTCTCTACAGGAGCCTCAGGGAGGGGTCCTTGTCTTCCCCGTATCTGGTGGTGAAGCCCACTTACCTTCTTATCTGGGTAAGAAGCCCACTTACCTTCTCTCACTGCAGGTGGGAATAGGACTGTGAGCAGAGCATTCTCCACAGACTTGTCCAACCCACGTGGCACCCGAGTTCAATGGGGAGCTGGGAATTGGTCCGGGAAAGAAAAACAAGGGCAAGCATTTGGAGGATTTGAGGTAAAAATTTAATAACATGTGTGGTAAATGTTCATAGTAATTTGGGTCTCATAAAACCCTGCCTTCCCACACCGTATCCCCTTACTCGGACAATAAAACTCTAATGTTGTGTCACACACAATTGAAATCTGAGGATTCAAAATAATACCTTGCCTATTTCTTTCTAAGGGAGCATAGTCAATGAAGAGTTTCAAACTTAGATTTTGGTCACCTTATCATTCTCATAAGACTTTTTTTTTTAAGAGAGAGAGAGCATGTGCGCACAAGTGGGGACTGGGGGGAGGAGCAGAAGGAGAGGGAGAGAGAGAATCTTAAGCAGGCTCCACATCCAGTGTGCGGGCCAATGAGGGACTTGATCTCACAAACCTGAGATCATGACCTGAGCCTAAATCAAGAATCGGATGCTTAACTGACTGAGCCACCCAGGTGCCACTCTCATAAGATTTTATTTTATTTTATTAAAGATTTTATTTATTTATTTGACACAGAGAGAGAGAGAGCACAAGCAGGAAGGGCAGTAAGCAGAGGAAGAGGGAGAAGCAGGTTCCCGCTGAGCAGGGAGCCTGATGTGAGGCTCCATCCCAGGACCCCGGGATCATGACCTGAGCCGAAGGCAGCTGCTTAACTGACTGAGCCACCCAGGCGCCCCTCTCATAAGATTTTAATACTCTCTTTAGTAATAGGAAATCATGCAAGCGAGAAAATCCCAGTCCCTCCATTGATTCATGGAGAAAACAGACTCAATCATTCTGACATTTCCAGAGAACCATCACCTTTCCAACAGCTGCTAAGTCCAGTGTGAAAAGAGGCTAATAGCACATGTGATCTCCCAGTGTTTCTGGCCCCATGGGAAAGAATATTCAGGCTCCAACAACACTAACCTGATAGGCAGGATCATCATGTCCTGCCATGTTAGGACAGATTTTTTGACCCCCTCCCAAGCCTAATTTCAGATGGTCCTTTTTGCCAAAGTGAGATCCTTTGAATCACTATGTTGCGGATATGATTTCTTAGTCTCTCCAAAATATATAGTGTGTTGGAGGTGTGAAATTTGGCATGTGAACATATGGGATGGAGAATTGACTGCAGGGAGGGAGTCCCCCTGCTGTGACTGCCCACGCAATTTGGGCTTCCGAGGTAGTTGTTTGGAAAATGAATTAGATTCTGTCCTTAAAAATAAAGTTATTTCGCAAAGTGAGGAAGCCTTGATCCAGCTGCGAGCCAAAGGAGCAGCTGGGGGCTTAACACCCTTCTGCACACCTCTGAAGACATTTGAGGCTTGTGGCTGCTAATCAGGACCCGCAAATCATTTTAATCATCAGCTTCTTGTTACATTGTGAGCACATTAATAATTTTTCCTCAATGCATTTAAGGGAAAAAGAGATTGCCAGTAGAAGCCTGTTTAATTTGATCACCTGTGCCCGTGGGCACCAACACCCTTTCTTCCGCCTTCCTTCCTTGGCACCCTCTGGCTATGACCTCTACCCATCATGCGTGTGTGAGTCAACCCCGTGGCACAAGACCTGCTCACCCTCCCGCAGCCAAGTGGTGTTTTCTTTCTGCTCTTCATTTCCTCTTCTCCTCCTTACACACACTCACATCTGTTTCCCATTATTTAATTATTCTGTGTCACAGTTTACATTTTATTTTTCAGTTTTCCTCTGTCTACCACCATACCTTTAGTTTTCCTTTAGCAAACACATACTCATTTCATTCTGATACTGTGTCCTGATAGTTTTCCCTACTTGGTTTGCTATTGTTTGTTTCTTTTCTGTCTTTTTTTGATGTTTTTTTCTGTTGCTTTGGTTTTTTTCTCTCTCTCAGGGCCAGGGAAACCTGGGTGCAAGTGCCAGAGCTGGTCAAGAGGACATCGCCAGCAGCCCGGGGTTATACCTGCCCATCTCTGGTGAAAGTGGGGTGTGATAAAGACCCCTTCCTCCCCCCCTCGCTTCTGGGCTGTTGCAGGAAGTTTGGGTGGGGCATCCCCACCTAGCAATATGTTCAGTCTCCTTCTTCCCCAAAGTTGAGTGTGCCTACGAGTACGCTGCTTTTCAACAATCTCCCTCTGCCATGTCCCCTGTGCTGGGGACAACAGTCCGGACGTCACTAGCAGGGTCTGCAGGCAGAGGAGGGAGGTTGAGGAAGAAGTCAGTGAGTGAAAGAAGTGTACCTGTGCAGAGGGAGTTGTTTTCCTGGTTTACTTTGAATAAGGCACTTCTCTGTACTTTGGAATATCTGGTGGTCAAAGGGCATGCTGTTGAAAGTTTTAAGATTGTTGCAAAATAGGTTGCTATAAGTTTGGTGAAGTCCATTTTAGATTCCTTTTTTGTTTTTAATTTTTGGATTGATGATCTTCTAAAAGGGCACAAGAATGAGGCTTCTGGCAACTGTGTGAGTTTCCTGCCTTCCTCAGGGAATGTAATATGCCTTTTTTCTTTGGTTGCTTTCAAGATTTCCTTTTAATATTTTATTTTCGGTGTGATTTTTTTTTTAAGATTTTATTTATTTCTCTGTCAGAGGGAGAGAGAGAGAGCACCAGCAGGGGGAGCTGCAGGCAGAGGGAGAAGCAGATTCCCCCCTGAGCAAGGAGCCGGATGTGGGACTCAATCCCAGGGCCCTGGGATCATGACCTGAGCTGAAGGCAGATGTTTAATCAGCTGAGCCACCCAGGCGTCCCATAGATGTGATGTTTTTGTTTGTTTGTTTTCTGCTTCGTGTTTCTGAGCTTCTTGGATTTGTGGTTTGGTACCTGTCATGAACTTTGGGAAATTCTCAGCCATTAGTTCCTTCCAATATTTCTTCTGCCTCCTTCTCTCTTCTCCTTCTGGTATTCCAATTGCATATATATTAGACCATCTGATAGTGTCTCACTTAAAATACAGGAACATAGATTCATTATGGCTAAGAGGATGAAAAAGAAATACCACTCAATTACTAAAGAAAGCTGGAGTAGCTATATTATATTAATATTTGAAAAAGTAGGCTTCAGAATAAGGAATATTTTCAAAGATAAATAGTGACATTGTATAATGATAAAGAGTTTAATCCTCCAAAAAGACCTAACAATCCTAAATGTGTGCATACCTAACAACAGTGCTTAAAAAAACACAAAGCAAAAACTGCTAGAACTGAAAGGAGAAAGAGACAAATCTCATTAGAGATGGAGACCTCAATGATTCATAGAAAAAGGAGGCAAAATCAGTAGACATGGAAGATCTGAATAATATCATTGACCAACTTGACCTAAGTGACATTTACAGAATACTGTACTCAACAATAGCAGAATACACATTCTTTTCAATTGCACGAGGATAGTCACCAAGATAGATCATATCCTGGCCCATAAAGGAAACTGTGGCAAACATTTAAAAATGGTAATCTCTTTTTGGCTTCTGGAGGTGCAGCCTGTGGGCAAGAGTGGTGGGGCCTCCTAGAGAGTGTGCAGGGCACTCCCGCTGGGCTCAAGGTAGAGGGCAGGAAGAAACTCTCACAAAGCATATTCTTGGAGCACGATGGAATTAAACTAGAAATCAATAACTGTAAGATATCTGGAAAATCCCCAAATAATCAGAAATTAAACAATACACTTTTATGTAATCCATGGACAAAAAAAAAAAGCCTCAAGACAAATTTAAAAATACTTTGAACAATATAAAAATGAAAATTTATTATATCTAATTTGTGGGTTGCAGCTAAAGTAATGCTGAGAGGAAAATGCGTGGCACTAAAATGTTTATATTAGAAAAGAAGCAATGTCTCCAATCAATAATCTAAGCTTCTACTCTAAGAAACTAGAAAAAGAAAAGCAATTAAACCCAAAACAAGCAGAAGAGCCTAAATTAATGAAATCGACATAAAGGGAAAACCTTCCTCCCACCCACCCGCCCCCTAGAAGAGTCCTATGTCCCTAGTGCATTAGTGGATGCAAACAGAGACGTGTGGAGGAAGAAGAATATATAGAATTACTCAGATCAGACTGTGAGTGTTAGCTCTGTCCCACCTAGGACCTCTGTGAAAACTAGATATTATAAATGTCTTTAAAAATATTACAAGCAGGGCGCCTGGGTGGCTCAGTCCATTAAGCATCTGCCTTGGGCTCAGGTCAAGATCCTGGGTCCTGGGATCAAGGCGAGCCCTGCGTCAGGCTCCCTGCTTAGTGGGGAATCTGCTTCTCCCTCTCCCTCTGCCCTTCCCCCACCCCATTTGTGCCCTTCTCTTAAAAAAAATTATAAGCTATCTATGTCATTTTAAAAGCTAGCATCTATTGGGAGCTCATGACATCCCAGGTACTCTTGTTGGCACTTTAAATATTAGTTTATGTCATCCTTACAAGTAACTTATTTTTACTCCCATTTTATAAATGTGGAAACTGAAGCCCACAGAAGTTAAGTAATCTGGCAAAGGTTACTCACCTAATGAGTGACAGAGTCAAGATCTGAATCCAAGCAGTCTGGCCTCAGAGCTCAGACGTAAAGGAGTGGTTTTGCTGGTATCTGGGACTGTGAGGTCCGTGATACAATAGGCTGTATTTGTTTCCCCTGGGCCTGGCACCGTCTGACATACAACAGCTCTGGATCAGGGTTAGTTGGCTGATTTACAGCTTGAGACCACTGTAGAATAAAAATGGAAACAATAGCGACTTTTTAGAAAGTAACTTCAACGTTGCTAAGAGACTAGGTCTTAAATGTTCTCACCTCAAAAAAAAAAAAAAGCAGCAGCAGAAGAAATAACTATGTGAAATGATAGAGGTGTTAGCTAAAGCTCTGGTGGTAATCATTTTGCAATATAGAAATGTATCAGATCAACATGTTGTATACTTTAAACTTACACTACCTTATAAGTCAATTATATCTCGAAAAACAAAAAAGGCGATGACTACCACTCTACAATTTAAACTATATGTACTGATACTGATCAGTATAGATGATCTTTCACTTTATTGTTTGATGCTATATAATGGGGAATGGAAGACAGATGGTGTGTTTCGGGATTGAGTAGAT